ATCAAACGATAACACATCATACAGAGCTGAGACAGTCGGCGAGCCGACGTCTCGTCCTCTTTCTTCTCTTCTCTCGAGAGCATCCCGCAACCGCTTCCCCGCTCGGGCGCACTAGCTCGCGATGGACGGCCCAGCACCTCCCGACGCCGCATTCGCGACACTGCCGAGCCGATCTCCTAACTACTTTCTGTCCCGTTTGAAGGCGCCGAGGAAGACACATAGAGAAGATCCAGCTACCACATGCCTCACCGTAACACAGGTGCACACCGTCGCCTAACGGGCTACCCAGACCAATGCCTGTCCTAAGGGCAAGACGCGCTGAAGGCCCACCACATGCCCGTCCCGCTTCAACGAGTCACACAATCCGCGCGCCCGCAGGCCAAGCGCATCGAAGATCCCGCACAGAGGTATGCTACCAAGCACCCTCCCGCCGTCCGACAGCCGTTTCCTCCTTTTTTCCCTGGCAAGGAGCTCGTTTTTTGCTTTAGCCTTGCGGACCTTTTCCCTACAGGTGTTGGCTATTTGTTTGAATTCTTCTTTGGTGATTTCTCCCTTTTTCCACTTCTTGTGCATGTCTCTTTTGTGTCTTAGCACAGTTAGAAGTTATTTGGACATCCATTCTGGCTTCTTTGCACTTGTCCTATTTTTTCTCTTTGTTGGCACGGTTTGCAATTGCGTCTTGAGTATTTCACTCTTGAGAAATTCCCATCCATCCGTAACTCCCTTGTCTTTTAGTATCTGTGTCCACGGAATGCTGCTCAGTGTTTCCTTCATTTTTTGGAAATCAGCTCTCCTAAAGTCCAGAATGCGGGTTTGACTTGTCTTAGTTTCGGCCTTCCTTTGTACCTCAAATTGCAGGAGCACATGGTCACTTGCCCCTAAGGATCCTACCACTTCGACCGCATCGATCAGGTCCTCCGCATTTGTTAGGATGAGATCAAGAGTAGCCAATCCCCTTGTTGCCTCTTCTACCTTCTGGACCATGAAATTGTCTGCAAGGCAAGTGAGGAATTTGTTGGACCTTGTACTCTTGGCCGAGTTTGTTTTCCAGCAAATATCGGGATAGTTGAAATCGCCCATGACTACTACATCTCTTCTCTGTGCCTGTTTGGTCAACTGTTGGCAGCAGACTTCATCAAGTTCTTCCTCCTGGCTTGGGGGTCTGTAGTAGACGCCTACAACGACATCTTTTTGAGTCCCAGTTCCCTTGATTCTTATCCAGATGATTTCAAGCTGGTTTCCCAGATTGCTGTCTTGAATCTCTTCTGCAGCATAAGAGTTTTGACATATAAGGCTACTCCGCCTCCTCTCCCCTTTGTTCGGTGTCTGTGAAAGAGGTTATACCCCTCGATATCTACATTCCAGCGATAGGAGTCATCCCACCAGGTTTCAGTGATCCCTATGATATCATATTTGTGGTGTTGTGCTAAAAGTTGGAGTTCGTCTTGTTTATTTCCCATGCTCTGTGCATTAGTGTAAAGACATGTGAGCCCCTGAGATCTTCCCTTGAGCTGTTTAATTGGGATTATTGTGCTTTTGGTACTTGGTCCTTGTTGTGTTTGTGCAGCCCTCCGTTTAGCCTTCTGGCGATTCCCAGACATTATGGGTAAAGTAGTGTTCGCAAGGCTGTTGTCCCCCTCCCCCGGTGGACCTAGTTTAAAGTGCGTCTAATGAGGTTTGCGAGTCTGTGAGCAAAAAGGTGTTTTCCTACTTGTGTGAGATGCACCCTATCCCTTGCCAGTAGGCCATCCTCCTGGAAAAGCAGGCCATGGTCGAGGAAGCCAAAGCGTTCCTCCTGACACCATTTTCTAAGCCAGTCATTGACCTGTACTATTTTTCTGGCTCTTGTGGGTCCGTGTCTTACAACAGGGAGGAGGGATGAAAAGACCACCTGTACATTACATTATTTTAGCTTTGCTCCTAGAGCTCGAAAATCATTTGTGATCTTTTGAAACGTATGCCTTGCAGTATCATTGGTTCCTACATGAATCAACATGAGGGGAGGACGGTGATAGGGCTTGAGGAGCCTGGTGAGCCTCTGAGTGATATGGTGTATTTTTGCCCCGGTAGGCAGCATATTTCTCGAGCCATCCCATCTGGTCTGGAAATGACAGCTTCCGTTCCTCTAAGGAGGGAGTCGCCTACTACCAAGACCTGTTTACTTTCGGGAATGACAGGGCCCCTTTTGTGCAATGTAGTGTGTAGGTCTCCAGAAAAGTGATCGTGTTGGTGTGAATTGTGTAGGTGAAAAGTGTTGTCCTCCTCCTCGACATCCCCGGTGCATTCGTCAAGGACAATCCATTGAGATTCGTCCAAGAGCCTATGGTTCTCCTGTATGTGTTCGACATGTGATTCAATACAACAGCCAGCATAACTTTTCCAGGCTTGTGATCCCAGCTGTTCTTTGTCACAGGCAGATGGTATTTGTGGCACAAGTTCCAATGAATCATCTAAGCAATGGTGTTGTGCCTCTGCTTGTAGTTTGTGCAATCTTCTTGCAGCAGCTGCGGATGTGTTCGATTGCTTCCTTACAGAGTCTACATTTGGGATCTGTCATCAACTCTTCAGTTCTGGCTTTGATGGCATTTGTATGAATGGCTTGTTCTTGGGCTGCCAGAATCAGGCCCTCCTTTGTCTCCTTTTTCAAAGTTCCATTTGTGAGCCACAGCCATGTTTTTTCTTTGTCAATTTTGCTCTCAGTTTTTCCTGGAGAGCCTTCTTTGCCAGTTTTCTCTTCTGCTCTGCATTGTATTTTTATAGTATTTCCTCTTTGTCTTTTGCACTTGAAGCAGTTTACTACTATTGACTTCCCTCAATGTTGGTTCTTGACTGCCTTTCACACAATCTACCAGTGCGTGTTTCTCTTCTTCTACCGTTTGTTTCACTTGCAGAAGCCCTCTGCCTCCTGATTTTCTGGGCAGGTCAAGTCTGTTGACACCACTATGCGGGTGTCATGAGTAGTGGATTGTCACCAGATAATAATAATAATAATAATAATAATAATAATAATAATAATAATAATAATCTTTATTTATACCCCGCCATCATCTCCCCGATGGGGACTCGGAGCGGCTTACATGAGGACAAGCCCGGACAACATTACAATGAAGTAAAACAAAAACATAAACAACAATCAACATCATCAAAATTACATAGGAGGAAAGAAAAAAAAACATTCCAATACACACAATCACAATAACAGTGGGTGAGCCAAATGTACAACAAAGTACATAAAGTAACAAAATAAAATGAACAGTGCAAAATAATATAATAAAATCAAACATAAAGGGTGGGCCAAATGTAAAGGATAAAATGTTAAAACATTAAAATCTCCTTCAGATCCCTTAAAAGGATTTGAGAACCCAAGAATTGGAAAGGGATTGGACTAGATAGCCTTTGGTGGCCCTTAAGAGCTTGGAGAGGCCAATAAATATGAAAGGGGTTGGACTAGATGGCCTTTGGGGGCCCTTTTACAGACAGTTTTCTTGTTTTTCTGTTCAGATCATCCAGCTCTGCTTGTGTCCAGTTCACAATCCCAGCAGTGTATCTAATGACGGGGATGAACCAGGGGTTGAGAGCCTTGATCGTATTTCTGCCATTTAATTTGCTCTTCAAAACCTTCCTGACTCTTTGAATATATTCTTTGCTGACCACATTTTTCACTTGCCCATGCTTGATATTGTCCAACTCTCGTATGCCCAGATATTTATAGGCTTCAGGCTGATTGCACTTTATGGTTTGTCCGTTTGGCATCTCTATGCCCTCGCTTTGTGTAATTTTCCCTTTCTTTAATGCCACTGTGGCACATTTGTCTAGGCCAAACTCCATACTGATGTCAGTGCTGAAGATTCTGACTGTGTTGGTCAGTGACTCGATTTCAGTTTCTGATTTCCGTAAAGCTTTAGATCATCCATGTACAGCAATAATAATAATAATAATAATAATAATAGTTATATCCCACTTTATCTCTCCCGAAGGAAACTCAAACCAGTAGCGTACAGTAAAGTTCTTCCTACTGTTTAGGTGGAATCTCTTTTCCTGGAGTTTGAATCCATGGCTCCATTATGTCTTAGTCTCTGTAGCAGCAGAAAAAACAAATTTACCCCTCCTCAAAAGGATAAGTGTGCCTTCCCGGAATAATGATCCCATAGCACTTTGTCCCTCCAAAGCACTTTATATTTTTAGGTCTGCTCGTATGTCTTCCACAAACGCCACTATCACCTTTTCGTCCATGCCTCAGCACTATTTCCAATTTTAATTTTTACATTTGGCCTTCCCACAGTTTTAATTGTATGTTGTCTTATTGATAATGTTATATGTTTATCGTCTATGTTTTATTTTAATTGCTTGTATTGTTGTGATTATTGCTTGTATTGTTGTGTTGGGCTCAGCCTCATGTAAGCCGCACCGAGTCCCTTGGGGAGATGGTAGCGGGGTACAAATAAAGTATTATTATTATTATTATTATTATTATTATTATTATTATTAGGTTCCCTCTCAATATTCTTTTCTCCAAGCTAAACTGTCAAAATCCCCTCTCTTGCATCATTTATTTATTTATTTATCATGTCAGTAGCAACCAGACAATTGTATTACATTTTTAACAAATTTTTAACAAACAGACAAAACAGAGTTTGCAAGCTTGGTAGTTGATTAAATGTCCTTTGACCAGTATCTGGCCACTTGGAGTGCCTCTGGTGTTGCCGCAAGAAGGTCCTCCATTGTGCATGTGGCAGGGCTCAGGTTGCATTGCAGCAGGTGATCAGTGGTTTGCTCTTCTCCACACTCGCATGTCGTGGATTCCACTTTGTGGCCCCATTTCTGAAGGTTGGCTCTGCATCTCGTGGTGCCAGAGCGCAGTCTGTTCAGCGCCTTCCAAGTCACCCACTTTTCTGTGTGCCCAGGGGGGAGTCTCTCCTTTGGTATCTGCCATTGATTGAGTTTCTGGGTTTGAGCCTGCCACTTTTGGACTCTCGCTTGCTGGGGTGTTCCAGCGAGTGTCTCTGTAGATCTTAGAAAACTATTTCTTGATTTAAGTCGTTGACGTGCTGGCTGATACCCAAACAGGGGATGAGCTGGAGATGTCTCTGCCTTGGTCCTTTCACTATTGGCTGCTACTTCCTGGCAGATGTCAGGTGGTGCAATACCGGCTAAGCAGTGTAATTTCTTCAGTGGTGTAGGGCGCAGACACCCCGTGATATGTGGCATGTCTCATTAAGAGCCACATCCACTGTTTTAGCGTGGTGAGATGTGTTCCACACTGGGCATGCATACTCAGCAGCAGAGTAGCATAGCGCAAGGGCAGATGTCTTCACTGTGTCTGGTTGTGATCCCCAGGTTGTGCCAGTCAGCTTTCGTATGATATTGTTTCTAGCACCCACTTTTTGCTTGATGTTCAGGCAGTGCTTCTTGTAGGTAAGAGCCCGGTCCAGAGTGACTCCCAGGTAATTGGGTGTGCTGCAATGCTCCAGTGGGATTCCTTCCCAGGTAATCCTCAGAGATTGGAATGCTTGTCTGTTCTTAAGGTGAAAGGCGCATGTCTGTGTTTTAGATGGGTTGGGGATCAGCTCAACCCCAAAAAAAAAAAAAAAAAAACAAAAAAAAAAATGGTGAAAAGCACATGTCTGTGTTTTAGATGGATTAGGGATCAGCTGGTTTCCCCTGTAATAGGCAGTAAGAGCACCTAGAGCTTCGGAGAGCTTCTCTTCAACCATCTCAAAGCTCCCTGCTTGAGCGGTGATGGCACGATCATCAGCATAGATGGTTGTGCTAGTCAGCTTTCGTATGATATTGTTTCTAGCACCCACTTTTTGCTTGATGTCAGGCAGTGCTTCTTGTAGGTCAGAGCAAGGTCCAAAGTGACTCCCAGCAACCAGAAGCGACTCTTGCATCATCATCATCATCATCATCATCATCATCATCATCATCATCATCATCATCCTATGTAACACAGTTTTTGTTCCTGGTTTATAAATGTCATTTCCTAATCATAAAAACATGGGAAGAGTTTATTGAACTCCAAAAACTTTGTTTTGGCGGGACATCCTGCTGTAGCACATTTTGCTCTAGTTTTTCAACAAATATCTCACAGAGTCTCAACCATTTCAACATTGTGGCAGCCACAAAAACAAAGTTACTGGAGTATAACAATTACTTTCAAAGTAAGGAGTGCACAATTAAACAGGAAATAACACTTTCAAACCAGGAACAGAAACATTTTCACATTTTGTTACATAGTGTTTTATTACTATGTTTTTATGTTGCAGATGGACAATCTTTCCCTGAAGGAGGAAAATGCCCAGCGGTACAAAGAGCGGTTGAGGGAGCATCACTTGGACGGCCGGGCGCTGCTTTATAGTGACCGAAACGAGGTGAAGGATGCCCTTGGCATGGGCCTGGGCGAATGGATGGCCTTCTGCATGCATTTTCTTGACTCCGTCCCTGCATCTTCTGCATTGCCGTTGTTCCCAGCAAAAAGCTGGCTAAGCTTGCAGGACAGCACGTTGAAAGTAAGCCGGCTGTCCTTATCCAAGGAAAACATCCTCTGATAAAGCTTCCCCTGAAACTGGCTCCCTTCGACATAAATTAGGACGATATGACTCCTGTCAAGCACTAAAATGATGCCATGATAGGTTGGCAAAGGCTGAATTATGACCGCCTGGAACACAATGGTTCAAGGGATCAGACTTTCTATGATGGGTTTAATGTTTATTTATTGCCACTGATGGGTTTGGCCCAGTCCTGAAAATTGATGCCATAGATAGCACTATGTACATAACACGATGTTTGTTCCCAGGTTATAAATGTCATTTTCTAATTGGTTCCACTATATAGGAATAATAATAACAATAATACTATGTAACACATTTTGTGTTTCTGGATTATAAATGTCATCTCCTAATTGGTTCTGTCCTATTAGGTATAATCATAATACTCTGTAGCATAATTGGTTCTATCATCTATATAAATAAAAATGTAATGTTCGTTTGTGGGATTAATAACTCAAAAACCACTGGACAAATCGACACCAAATTTGAACACGATGCACCTATCAGGCCAATGAGTGACCATTACTCATTAAAACACTGAAAAAATACAGTGGAAGGGACTTAAAAAGCCAAAAAACAAAAATCACATTACAATAGCATGCACAAAACCACATATACACATATTACACATAACATATATACACATATACACAAATATATACAGAATATATACACACAGATATATGCACACACAAAACACACAGAAAGAGGAAGGAAGGAAGGAAGGAAGGAAGGAGAGAGAGGGAAAGAAGGAGGGAAAGAAGGAAGGAGAGAAGGGAAGGAAAGAAGGTAGAGAAGGAAGGAAGGAGAGAAGGAAATAAAAAGGAAAGAGGAAGGAAGAAGGAAGGAAAGAAGGAAGGAAGGAAAGAAGGAAGGAAGGAAGGAAGGAAGGAAGGAAGGAAGGAAGGAAGGAAGGAAGGAAGGAGGAAGGAGAGAAGGAGGGAGAGAAAGAGGAAGAAGGATGGAAGGAGAGAAGGAAAGAAAGAAAGTAGAGGGAAGGAAGGAGAGGAAAGAAGGACAGGAAGAAGGAAGGAAAAAGGGAGGGAGGGAGGGAGGGGAGGATGGAACAAAGGAAAGGAAAGGAAAGGAAAGGAAGGAGGAAGGAAGGAAGGAAGGAAGGAAGGAAGGAAGGAAGGAAGGAAGGAGACAAGGAAGGATGGAACCAAAGAGCAAAGGAAGAGAGAAAAGAAACAGGTAGAGAAGGAAGAAAGAAGAAGGGAAAGAAAAAGAGGGAAGGAAGGAAGGAAGAAGGAAGGAAGGAAGGAAGGAAGGAAGGAAGGAAAGAAGGAAGGAAAGAAAGAAGGAGAGAAAGAGGGAAGGTTGGCCACAGCAAAGCGTGGCGGGTACAGCTAGTCTATATAAATAAAAAATGTAATGTTTGTTTGTGGGATTAACAGAAACTCAAATCCACTGGACAAATTGACAACAAATTTGGACACAATACACCTATCAGGCCAACAAGTGACCATCACTCATTAAAATGCTGAAAAACACAGCGGAAGAGACTTTAAAAGCCAAAAAATAAAATAAAAAATACATTACATTACAATGTATGCGCATAACCACATAAATACACATATAATAATAATCTATATAAATAAAAATGTAATGTTCATTTGTGGGATTAACAGAACTCAAAAACCACTGGACAAATTGACACCAAATTTGGACACAAGACACCTAACAACCCAATGTATGTCCTTCACTCAAAAAAAATTTTGTCATTTGGGAGTTGTAGTTGCTGGGATTTATAGTTCACAATCAAAGAGCATTCTGAACCCCATCAACGATGGAAATGAACCAAACATGGCATAACAGGACTCTCATAACCAACAGAAAGAACTAGAAGGGTTTAGTGAGCATTGACCTTGAGTTTGGGAGTGGTAGTTCACCTACATTCAGAGAATGCTGTGGACTCAAACAATGATGATCTGGACCAAACTTGGCACGAATATTCCATATGCCCAAATATGAACACAGATGGAGTTTCGGTGGAAATAGACATTGACATTTGGGAGTTGTAGTTGCTGGGATTTGTAGTTCACCTACAATCAAAGAGCATTCTGAATCCCACCAATGATAGAATTGGGGCAAACTTCCCACACAGAACCCCCATGACCAACAGAAAATACTCAAGGCCATCTAGTCCAACTCCCTTCAACTTATATAAATAAAAATGTAATGTTCGTTTGTGGGATTAACATAACTCAAAAAACACTGGACAAATTGACACCAAATTTGGACACATACACCTATCAGGCCAACAAGTGACCATCACTCATAAAAACACAGTGGAAGGGGCTTAAAAAGCCAAAAAAATAAAATAAAATAAGAAATACATTACATTACAACGTATGCACATAACCACATAAATACACATATACTCAAATATATACCACAGCAATGCATGGCAGGGACAACTAGTATTAAACCAAATAGGAATAATAATAACAATAATACTATGTAACACAATTTGTTTCCTGGATTATAAATATCATCTCCTAATTGGTTCTATCCTATTAGATATAATAATAATAATATTCTGCAGCATAATTGGTTCTATCATCTATATAAATAAAAATGTAATGTTCGTTTGTGGGATTAACAGAACTCAAAAACCACTGGACGAATTGACACCAAATTTGGACACAAGACACCTATCAGGCCAACGAGTGACCATCACTCATTAAAATACTGAAAAACACAGCAGAAGAGACTTAAAAAGCCAAAAAATAAAAAAAAATACATTACAATGTATGCACAGAACCACATAAATACACATTAATAATAATAATAATAATAATAATAATAATAATAATAATAATCTTTATTTATACCCCGCCACCATCTCCCCAAAGGGGACTCGGGGAGGCTTACGTGAGGTCACGCCCATCAATACAGAAACACAATATAGCACAAATACACAACAGAAAATCAGAAAATAAAATAGCATAAAATACAAAATGTAAATATACAGCACAAAAATATAAAACCAAAACATTAAACCACTAAATATACACAAATATATACACACATATATACACACACAACACATATACACAGACTGGGCCACAGCAATGCATGGCAGAGGACGGCTAGTATTAAATAAAATAGGAATAATAATAACAATAACACTATGTAACACATTTTGTGTTCCTGGATTATAAATATCATCTTCTAATTGGTTCTATCCTATTAGATCTAATAATAATAATAATAATAATAATAATAATAATATGCAGCACATTTTGTGTTCCTGAGTTATAAATGTCATTTCCAAATCCATCATCAGTGGGATCACAAGGCTCTCTGGACATGGCTGTACTCCAGCTCCCATAATCCTGTCTTGGGTCTCTGGGTGCGGGTTGACTACAACTCCCCTCATTTTTTGTCAAGCACCCTCAAAGCATGCCAAAACTTACAATTTCTTCATAATGGATGCATCAGTGGGATTCACACGGTTCTCTGGATGTTGATGGACTGCAACTCTCACCATCCTGGGTCAATCCCTCCAGTATTTTAAGATGGTTATGATGGGTATGTGCTGCAGGTTTTGTCAAGAACCATTGTTGATGGGATTCACATGGCTTTCCAGATGTTACTGTATTCAAACTCCTGTATTAGCTCTCTGTAGATGGGTAGACTCCAACTCCCATCATCACCTGCTTCAAAAAACCCCACTAGAATTTTAAATCCGATCATGATGGATACATGTACCAAGATGCATTGTGGGTGGGACTCCACATCTCTTTGGATGTGGGTGGACTACAGTAACCATCATTCTCTATCAATGTATGTATATGTATGCCTGTTTGGTCCAGATTATTATTATTATTATTATTATTATTATTATTATTATTAATACCCCGCTTCACCTCCCCAAAGTGGACTCAAAGCAGCTTTGATCCATACACACCTTTTGTCGCTTTTATAATATATCTAGACATAGATTTACCATCATTTTCTCCATTCAGTGTCTCCAAAAAATGCAGAAACTTTGCTGTTGGGCCGTCATTGGAAACTATTGTGTCTCTGTTGACAGATAGAGAAGAATACGTGAATGGGGAAGCTGCCACCTAATAATAATAATAATAATAATAATAATAATAATAATAACAACAACAACAACAGAAAGTGTACATAATAATAGTAATATTACATTTTAATAATATAAAAATATATTTTAATAATTGAAAATTACATAAGGGAAAATGTACACTTTAATAATGTTAATAAAAATAATAGAAATTTTACATAAGACTAATAATAGCAAATGTACATAAAATTATAGCAATTGTTGACAAGAGCACTTGAATGAGAATAGAAAATTTACATAATAATAATAGAAAATTACATAATTATAATAATAGAAAATTACATTTTAATATTATTATTAATAATAATTTTTACACAATAATAGAAAATGTAAATAATAATAATAATAATAATAATAATAATTGCTGACAGGGAGAGAAGACTACTTGAATGAGGAAGCAACCCATTTTTAATAAGAATAATAATAGAAAATTACATAATAATAATTATAAACATTGCATTTTGGTAATAATAGAAAATTTATATAATAGAACATTTACATAATAATAGAATATTTACATTTAATAATATTAACAATAATAGAAAACTTACATAGTAATAATAGAAAATTTACATTTTTATATTAAGAGAATGTTTAAATAATAGTAATAATAATTGTAATAATATATACTTTAATAATAATAGAAAATGTACATAATAATAGAAAAATTAATAATATTATTAATAATAGAAAATGTACACAATAATAATAATACTTATTACTGTGTTGTCAGAGGCTTTCATGGCCGGAATCACTGGGTTGCTGTGAGTTTCCGGGCTGTCTGGCCATGTTCCAGAAGCATTCTCTCCTGACGTTTCACCACATCTATGGCAGGCATCCTCAGAGGTTGTGAGGTCTGTTGGAAACTAGGCAAGTGGGGTTTATACATCGGAATGTCCAGGGTGGGAGAAAGAACTCTTGTCTGCTTGAGGCAGGTATAAATGTTGCAGTTGGTCACCTTGGTTAGCATTGAATAGCCTTGCAGCTTCAATGCCTGGCTGCTTGCTGCCTGGGGGAATCCTAGAGTTGGAAGAGACCTCATGGGCCATCCAGTCCAACCCTCTGCCAAGAAGCAGGAAAATTGCATTCAAAGCACCCCTGACAGATGGCCATCCAGCCTCTGTTTAAAAGCTTCCAAAGAAGGAGCCTCCACCACACTCTGGGGCAGAGAGTTCCCCTGCTGAACAGCTCTCACAGTCAGGAAGTTCTTCCTAATGGGAATCCTTTGTTTGGAAGTGTTAGCTGGCCCTGACTGATTTTTGTCTGGATTTCCCTGCTTTTTCAGTGTTTCTCTTTATTTAATGTCATTATTTTGGAGTTTTTTTAAAAAAAAAATAATTGTTTGATACCTTGTTTTTTAGACTGCAACTCCCATGGTGCCCCATTGTTGCCTAGAGCCCGTTGGAACACCAGTTCACACCCACAAGTTCCTTCCTTCCCATAAAAAATGAGTATCATATTTCTATCTCTAAGCCACAACATTGCCTTGAAGAGTTTAGAACTACTAACCCCACAATACAATGCCTTTGGATATCACTCTAAYTKTTTCTATCTCTATYGTCACACTGTGAGTGATTTGCTCTAAGCCACAACGTTGCCTTGAAGYGTTTAAAACTACTAACCCCACAATYCAATGCCTTTGGATATCACTCTAAGTATTTCTATCTCTATGGTCACACTGTGAGTGATTTGCTCTAAGCCACAACGTTGCCTTGAAGAGTTTAAAACTACTAACCCCACAATGCAATGCTTTGGATATCACTCTAAGTATTTCTATCTCTATGGTCACACTGTGAGTGATTTGCTCTAAGCCACAACGTTGCCTTGAAGGGTTTAAAACTACTAACCCCACAATGCAATGCTTTGGATATCACTCTAAGTATTTCTATCTCTATAGTCACACTGTGAGTGACTTTCAAAATGGCGGCGGGAGTACAAGCTCAAATTAGCTATCACAGATATAAACCAATACAACTACGAATCCCATAATGCAATGCCTCTTGACAAGCTGCCAACAACCTATCAGGATAGGAAGCTGCCACATTAGGCCCACCTTAGTTAAGGATGACAAACGTATCGACCAATGGCAGTGCGGGATAAAGCAAAGGGCGAGGACTAGGGATGAGTGGCAGCATACACCGCCAATGGGGTTTTGGCCCCACCTCCCGCGCCTCAGAGGCCAGCGGTTTCTCTCAGAGCGGGCCTCCGCCATGGCGCTGAGCGGCGGATGGTGGAGGCGAGCCGTGTGGCAGCTGAGGGGCGCTGGGAGGCTGCTGAGGGGACGGGGCGCGCCCAAGTACAGCTCGGGGCGAGGGCCGGGCCCTCCCCCGCCCGCTACGGAGCTCGACAAAGCCGACGCCTGGCTCCTCAGGAAGGCTCACGAGACCGGTACGCCAGCGGCGGACGGGGAGGCCGGCGTTGCCCTGTGCGCATGCGTGGAAGGGGGCGTGGCTTCCAGAGCCGGGGGCGGGGCCAGGGTTCCTTCGGGGGCGGGGCTTGGGCAGTGCTCAGAAGTGACACCTGGATTCTGGTCTTCCATATTTTGCAGCAGTTTATTCTTTTATTTCATTTATATTTATTTATTTACGACATTTCTATGCCGCCCTTCTCACCCCAAAGGGGACTCAGAGCGGCTTACAAGTTATTTGTACATACAGTATATTATACAATTAGCATAGCACCATATTAGTATTAGAATCATAGA